AGAGTAAAAAAAAAAAAAAAACCCAGAGATGTTGGTTTATTAGTATTATAAAAGTTATTGTCATATCTGTGTCCTCTTATGTCAGGTTCTTATTTAATCTTATTTGAGGTGTTAGTGAGGCCAGCAGGGGGTGCTCACCCTGTGGTCTGTGTGGGTCCTAACGCCCCAGTATAGTGACGGGGACACTATACTGTCAACAAGCACCGTCCTTCGGATGAGACGTTAAACCGAGGTCCTGACTCTGTGGTCATTTAAAAATCCCAGGATGTCTTTCGGAAAGAGTAGAGGTGTGACCTCGGCATCCTGGCCAAATTTGCCCATTTGGCCTCTGATCATCATGGCCTCCTAATCATCCCCTTATCTACTGATTGGCTTCATCACTCTGTCTCCTCTCCACCAGTAAGCTGGTGTGTGGTGGGCGTGCTGGCGCACTATGGCTGCCGTCGCATCATCCAGGTGGATGCTGCACACTGGTGGTGGATGAGCAGATACCCCCTGACAATGTAAAGCGCTTTGAGTGCCTAGAAAAGCGCTATATAAAATGTAATGAATTATTGTTATCTATCAGCTCAACTTGGCCCCTTTGCGCTCAGACACTGCAAGGGGACAGACACTACACTGCTTCTGTGCCTCAGCATTTGTGTGTGTGTCTGAGCTTTTACCTTGCGTGTAAATAACACACACTGCTTTTATAAGTTTTATTTTTATAAATGTATATAAGCTGATTTGTTTTATTCACTTTTTGTGAATTAAATCATTTTCTTAATTTGTTATAAATTTTGTCAATATTAGTTTTATAATAATTATTTTTTTTAAGTATAAACTTCTCTAAATGTTGTTACATTTATGGTTAAAACAAGAAAGAATAATTGCCAAGAAGTTTACACAGTTTATAACTGAAATACAAGATATACACTACCTTTGAAACGTCTGGGGTCGGTGAGATTTTTTTCTTCTTAAAAAAAAAACAAACAAAAAGATTGTGAAACTTTTTTTTTTTTTTCAACAAAGACGCATTAATTAGATACAAACTGACAGTAAAGACTTTTACAAACCAAACCAAATAATTTTAATTACATTATGAAGGATCATGTGACTGCCTGGAGACTGGACTAATGACTGCTGAATTCAGCTTTGCCATCATAATATATTACAATAAAAAGAGTTATTTTAAATAATAATAATATTTCACAGTACATTTTATTGTATTTTTGGTCAAATAAATGCAGCCTTGTTGAGCATAAAGGACTTCTTTCAAAAACATTAAAAGATCTTAAGGACCCCAAGCTTTTGCACGGTATTTTATATTCTCTGAAAATAATTTATAATAATATTTGTTACACAAATGTGCTTTTCAAGTAAATTTGTCTAGTTTTAAATACGTTCAGAATAAAAATTAAAAAAAAGAGGCAAAAATACTGATTTAGAAACTGATTTAGAAGATTTTTTGGCAGTACAGAGGAGAATTGATTTGATGTATGGTGATGCTGCTCTGTGGTTGTGTCCTGCTCTGCAAACCAGCTTGCCAGTCTTTCCCCATTGCACCCTGGGAGCTCATTACAGGTGCCTCTGAGCTTGTGAAACACACCAGGATGTGGTTGTGTGAATCCTCTTCATTAAATACTACAAAACAACCACAGCAATGACAGAGAATCATCTGACAAGAAATCCACAGATGTGCGTTTCACCGTTACTGTATATGTTATAGTGAGGCAGACTGGTTTGTTCTGTATAATTGTTAGCGTCTCAGTCTGTTTGTAGAGACACATCCATAGAGACTTGTTTGTCTTTTGAGTGATTTTCCTATCAGTATGTTGCTGTTTTTCCCATCATTACACAAACAGAGAATTAGGTACTTTTTATCTGCCTTCATTTCTCACCCTGAGCTGGAGCTGTGATGTCATATCCTGTGAGTGTTGTTGGGTATAAACTTGCGAGGCTTAGTTGCAGTTTACTCCGGTTGGAGGAATTTGCTCTTGGTTTCTCCTTGTGACTAAGTAATGTCTGCCTTTTACATCATGCCATTTTAAAATGCTGGAAATCTCTCTCTCTCTCTGTCATTTAGAGCCGTAGTCCACGTCACTCCCAGTCCACTCAGTCAGGTTTGGCAGACCAGGCATCTAAACTGTCCTTCGCATCTGCTGAGTCTCTGGAGACCATGTCTGAGGCCGACATGCCGCTGGGCTTCAACCGCATGAACCGTTTCCGTCAGAGCCTCCCACTCTCCCGCTCTGCAAGCCAGAATAAACTACGCTCTCCAGGTAACATATACACACAGGCCTCATCTGAGTATCAGTCTACTGCTCTCAGTAAATTACTCTCTTTACCGGACACTCAAAAGACTAATACGCTTATGCCCACATAAACACAAGAATAAGTTAGCAACTTTACTAGAGCCAGTGCTGTGGTGTAGCAGTAGCATTCATGATCACAACTCACAGATGCTCCAATGGTTACGCAGATTTGAGTCATACCTACACTACAGTTTTTATTTTTGAAAACAAATGAATACTTTTATTTAGCAAAGATGCGTATGCATATAAATGGATCAAAAGTGACAGTAAAAACATTAATAACGTTACAAAAGATTTTGAAATAAATGCTGTTCTTTTGAACTTTCTATTCATCAAAGAATCCTGAAAAAGTGTCACTCTGTCCACAAAAATATTAAACAGCACAACTGTTTTCAACAGTGATAATAAGAAATGTTTCTTAAGCAGCGAATCTGCGTATTAGAATGATTTCTGAAGATCATGTGACACTGAAGACTGGAGTAATGATGCTGAAAATTCAGCTTCGCATCACAGGAATAAATTGCATTTTAAAATATATTTAAATGCAAAACAGTTATTTTAAATTGTAACTGTAAATAACTGTTCAATTGTAATTTGTAAACAGTATTTGTCAATAATCAGCCTTGCAGCCTTGGTGAGACCCCAAACTTTTGAATGGTAGTGTACATAATTTTCCACATACTTCTCTTCTGTCAAGGCATATAATGGCCTACAAAGCCCATAAATAATATAAAACGAAACCACTCCACTAGTGCCTCTTATTCATCCAATCGACTTTCTGTAACTTTCAAATGAAATTATTGTTTATGAAACTCTTCTGAACTGTTACTGTATAACCAATTTAAATTTAACAGCCGAGCCTCTAAGCCTCTTGAGAAACTATTTCAAAACAATTTCAGGGCGCAATTCAAAATCAAAATGCTTTTGATTGTAAGCATGTAAGCATCAGCCCAAAGGTTATGCAGAAAATTACTCGGATGTTTGATAGACAATTAAATATTCATTATGATAAACATTTCCTTATAAATAACTCAAAGTACAAGAATAGATTGCAATGATTAAACATCATCAAATTAATCTCAGGAAATATCTGTGCTATATTTTAATAGTAATGTGACAAGGTGCTACATCACTATTTTTAGTGTCACATTGTATTGTGCGTGCAGCTTTACAGTTGAGTGAGATGACACAATAATTAAACACATTCTCCTGTTTTTCATATGCAGTGATGGAAAGTCTGATTCATTCTGTTGAATCACTTTGTTTGAATGGTATAAAAAAAAATCTATTTTTTGTCTTTGCGCATGTGCCTCACAGTTCTGGTTTGCTTTCGGCAGAAGATGACATTTCGCTGTTCTGCAATTAGATACTGTGAAATGTTTTCTACTTGTTGATAGTTAATAGCAGTGCTTTAATTACAGCAGTACAATGCATTCAGATGAACTGACCTTCAACTGTTTGTTTTTTAGCTTTGGTTTCCATGGTGCGAAGTATCTCTTAGTGGTGATACAGTGTTGTTGAACTTTTATAGCTGAGTGCATGTTAGCAGCAAGCACACAATATTTGCTGAAAGTGATTCGGTTGGAGCTGTTCCCCACAGAGAGATTATTGTCCCATCAGCAGGAAGTTTAGGATCGCCTGCTGCCCCGTTAGGTGAAGTGCACTGAGATAAAGGAGTTCAACAGCCCTGAACGTGAGACTTTCTGCCACTGACATCCCTCCTAAAATCTGTCTGTCACTCTCTCTCACAGCGTTTTTCAACACTCAAAAAATATTTAGGCCTAAATTTATGATTTATATAATTGAATTGCGTATAAAATTTACATCCATTTAAACATAAACCTAATGTGATGTCACACTTTATATTTGTCAGTCATACATAAATAAAACAGGTAAGATTTCTGCGCTCAATAATGGCACAGTTTATCATCAGCAATTTTCATCTATTTAATTTTATTTAAATAATTTTTTCCTTCAAGATGCATTCATTCAGATTGCTTAGAATCAGCATAAATCTGTTCATTGTGAAAGCAATTGAATTAATTCAGTTAAAAAGTATGAACATATACATACCCAAAATGTATGATCCTGAAACGAACTGGATTTATTGATGATGAATATATAAAGCTGTTTTTTTGTGTGTATTTAAAACACATTCAGTTCATTATTACAGAAATCTTACCTGTTTGATTTATGTATGACTGATAAATATACATCACATTAAGTTTGTTAGTTTATATTAAAACTACGTAATCCCAATGGATGGAAATTTTATATGCCATTCAAATACACAAATCTTACATTTAGGAGTGTATGCTTCACCACTTTCCCTCTTCATCATGGTGGTCTTTGCTGACTTTCTTCTTTACTTCTGTCCTTCTCTCTCCTCAGGTGTCCTTTTCCTGCAGTTTGGAGATGAGACCAGACGTGTTCATATCACTCACGAGCTCAACAGTTTGGAGACCTTGCACGCACTCATCGTGCACATGTTTCCTCAGAAGCTGACAGCGGGAATGCTGAAGTCCCCGAACACGGCCATCTTGATCAAAGACGAAGCGAGGAACGTTTTCTACGAGCTGGAGGACGTGAGGGACATACAGGACCGCAGTATCATTAAAATCTATCGCAAAGAGCCCATCTATGCCTCCTATCCTGCGGCACATCTGGCCAACGGAGACCTCAGGGTGAGAGATTCCAACTGCATTCAATGATTCAGTTGTTTGCCATCTTACATTGTCTCAGCATGGGCTGATGGGTAAAAGAAGGCACCAAGCGTGAACCATATTTAAAGAATGTTTTCTTTTCCAAGTCAAAATAAGAAATCACAAGGTTAAGGATGTAGATCCCAGTATGTGGTAAGATGAAAGGCAGACCTAAACTTCAAATCGACGTCACAGTCCTTTTTGTGTGTTAAATATTTTAAAGGGAAGTACCCGTTGTTTGATCCATTGAGCGACGTCTTTCAGATTGGGATATTCTTGAACTCAGAAGTTTTTGAATTATGCACAGTTTTTGGTGTATCACTTGGGAGTTGGTTTTACTTTGTGAGCTTGCTGTGCTACCACGGGAGTTTGATGTGGGTTGACTTTGAAATGCGATCATGTTGAGTCACTCTGTTGATCAAATGTTCGTTTTTACTTCTCTGGTGTGAGACGTCTCTCCGCTATTAGACACGAGTCTCTCAGCTAACATTAGTCATGAGTCTGTTAATGTATGCTTATGTTTCTATTTATTGTCTGTTTGTGTGGGGTGTATGTGTGTACATTGATGTCTGAGTGTGTGTGTGTGTTTTTGTTTTGTTTTTTTAGAATGTTGTCAGGGTTGGGAAAGTAGAATTGGTTTTCACTCATTTAGACTTAAATAAGTGTTATTAATTACTGACTGGTTGCTTGTATGATAATGAGATGCAGTCTGTCCTATTTTCAGGACCAGTAATTATTTACACACTAAAAGAGTCACTTAATTCAGGGGATTTCAAACTTTATGATGCCAATAACTAGGATAAAATATGATGACTTCCTGTGCAGGACTGTTTGATAAAATATAAAGCTGGTGATATTTATTTATTATTTATTTATTTATAAAGACCCCTTCTGTGTGAAAAAATACTAGATGTGGTATTACAAAGACAACATGTTTCTAAAATTAAATGTTTTTTTATTTTCTATTTTTTTATTTTTTTTATTTTAATTTTTGAAAATTAAATAATTAAAATATTATCTGGAAAATATTTACTTTAAATTGAGTATTTTTTCTACCCACTATTAGGGTAATGTCAAACATAACTGTCCGTAGGATTAAATAATTCTGATTCCTTGTTTTTATGATTTATGATGAGTGATTGTGCTGGGTATTTTTTTTCAGGTTTCGTTTAAAAATAATTAATACTGTATAAAAATTATACACACTAAAATTGAAATTTAGGGGGGTTTTTTAGGTTAATTGCTGCTTTTAAATAAAAAATAAAATTGGTTCCAAAGTGGCAGCCTGCAGTGACAAGCTTATTGCACCTTTTGACCACGTTGAATTTATTCAAATTACCACTTGAGTTGAAACTCTACAGCCCTTCGCTGTTTGTGTGTGTGTGTGTGTGTGTGTGTGTGTGTGTGTGAAAGAGAAAGTGAATATATAAAGCCAATTTCACTGTTATCAGCAGAAGTCTGGACAGAACATGTCAACTGCTTCTTGGAGTGTGTACTTGCATTCACGTCAGTGTGTCCGTGTATGCAGGCTAACAAGCTATATCCCTGTAATGCTTCAGTAAGTTCGACTACTCTCAGAGTAGGGAACAAAAAGAGATGAAGAAAATATAGATATAAAGAAAAGATGGATAAGTGCCTTAAGATAAAACAAAACAAGCTGTGGAATAAATGCAAGTTAAGTGACAAGCAGATATAAAATGTATAAAATGATATGCAGGATGTAGCAAGGAGAGGTGAGAATGAAGAGAATGAAAAATACTGAGACGCAACAGGGCAGAAAAAAGGATCTGTTAGATGAGTGTGGGTTTCCTGGTGTTTGTGAATGGAGAGTTTTAAAGCTCTTCCTTCTGCTCATTGTAGCTTAGTAAAGTATATGCGCTCACTCAGAAGTGGTGGTAAAATCTGAATACAGTGTCATGTAATCCAATGTTATGCCAGTAGCTTTAGCTAGGCTGGGTGAAAGGAGTGAATGGAGCCTCCCCGGAGTTGAATTACAGACCGATGAAAAGAAAGAATGGGAGAGAATGGGGGCAATGAGTCTAGATCTCCGCTCTTGGTTTCGTGCTAAACCTCAGAGGATCACTCTTGCTTTGAGATATTTGATTTGTCATCAACACATTTTCAAGTTTGAATGATTTTTGGCAAATATCCACTTCTCCTTAACACTCCTAACTATGAATGTAACTGAATTATTCAGTTGAACTGGTGGCTTTTCAGTTTTTGAAAGAAGCTGGGTTTTACAGTAGATTTATGTAGGATTTTAAACATTCTATCAGACAAATAACATTATATTGTTCCGTCTGAATGTAAATGAATAAAAAATTAATGTTGAATTATTCTACTTTTATGAATAAAAAACAAACACTTTTAGAAAAAAAAATTTTGTGATAAAGAAGGATATGTGATGCTTGACAAATCTTGTCAAGCATGAAAAACTAAAAATTCTAAATGTTAAATGAGAGTAGAACTTGCCCATTTATGAACTTGGCTCCTCTGAAAACACAGACAATGTCACTTCCTCTTCATTATGTCATTTAAAATGACAGTTCACTATTATTTTGAGGTAAATACTGTAAGTGTTGTGATGGAAATCAAATTTATTTATAATTATATTCATTTAAATTTACATTGTCATTGTCATTTAGCAGACGCTTTTATCCAAAGCGACTTACAAATGAGGACAATAAAAGCAGTCAAAACTAACAAAAGAGCAACAATATATAAGTGCAAATGACAAGTCTCGGTCTTAGGGCTTCAACAACTGAAAGCAAGGCAGTCTCGGTCGAATGTCCACTTCTGAAGCCAGATTGGTTGCTGTCCAGGAGGTTGTTCTGTGTGAGAAAGGCAGAGACTTGGTTGAACACAGCTCGTTCAAGTGTTTTTGCAATGAAAGGTGAAAGGGAAATCAGTCTGTAGTCCTCTAGAAGAGTTGGGTTAAGAGTGGGTTTCTTAAGAAGTGGGGTTATACGAGCCTGGTTAATGTTGAGGGAAAAACACCAGTGTGAAGGGATGTGTTAACGATGTGAGTGAGTGCAGGTACAACTGCAGGAGAAATGGCTTGAAGGAGATGAGATGGAATAGGATCAAGCGAACAAGTAGTAGGATGATTGGAAAGGATGAGTTTAGAGACTTCTGCCTCAGAGAGTGGAGAGAAGGATGAAAACGAGTGTATGTTTGCTGGTAAGATGTGTTTGACAGTTTGTGGTGTGGCAAATTGTGCACTGAGGTTAATTAATTTAATATTATTATTTATGTATGAGTCATATATTTAAAAAATATTTGTGAATAATATAAGTTTATAATTCATTCTGAATTAATATATTTAAGTTTTCTCTCATAGGTACTCATAGGACTTGGACACAGATTATTCATATAAATATCTCCGAGTGATGTATTCATAAAATGCTAATTTCTTTTCTCCATCTGTTTTTAGAGAGAGATGGTTTATTCATCCCAGGACTCCTCACCTACCCGTCGCCTCAACACTCTTCCTTCCTCCTCTGCCTCGCCCTCCTACGGTTCTCCTTCCCGATCCCGTCTCTCCTACAGTGGAGGTCGGCCCCCCTCTTTTGCTGGTCCGGGTCACCCTCACCCACAGGGTCCCCAGCATCCGTCCCACTCCCACCACCCTTCGCCCTCTCACGGACAGACTCAAGGCCTAACCCCCTCCTCCTCAGCCATCCTAGAGCGGCGTGATGTCAAACCTGATGAGGAGATGTCTGGTAAAAGCATGGTCCTCCTGAAGAACGAAGGTCTTTATGCTGATCCGTACAGCTTGATGCACGAGGGTCGGCTTAGTATCGCTTCTGCTCAGTCCCTGGCCACCATCGCCGACCCCTTTGGCTTCCCAGTGTCAGGAGGTCTGTACCGCAGAGGTTCGGTGCGTTCTCTCAGTACATACTCAGCTGCAGCACTGCAAAACGACCTGGAGGACAGTCTGTATAAGCCTGGAGGTTCTCTATACTCCGATACTTACAGCAGCTCCACGCTCGGCATGGGCTTTCGTCTGCCGCCCTCCTCCCCGCAGAAAATTCCCGACGTGCAGCTGCGTGACAGGGAATCGTTCACTGGGTCTCCCAGCCGAGGGTCGCCTGTGAGAACCACCTTCCGCAAAGACTCCGCTTCCTCTTCCGTGTTTGTGGAGAGTCCAAAGTCCAGACCCAGCTCCAGTTCTGAACCCCTAGGAGATGGGAGTAAGGGACCTGGATTTGGGTTGTCATTGTCTGGGCCCGAGACGGACACACGGTGAGCACTAGCAAAATGTACATGTACGTGAGGTTATTAATGCACTTTTTCATTGACAAACACACATTGTCATTGACAAGATCTGTACGTCAGTCTACACACTCTGAACACAAATTAATAAACATCATTTATTATTATGCAAATGCCAGAAAGAAATCTTTATTAAGCACAAGGGGTGTAACCCCGGTGTCCTGGCCAAATTCCCTCCACTGGCCCTTATCTCTCATGGCCTCCTAATAATCCCCATCCACTTGATTGGCTCTATGACTCTCTCTCCTCTCCACCTGTAGCTGGTGTGTGGTGAGCGCACTGGCGCCGTTGTCCTGTGGCTGCTGTTGCATCATCCAGGTGGATGCTGCACACTGGTGGTGGTTGATCTGCACCCGGGCACTGGCACTTTATTTTTGAGAGGTCTTAAGTGATGCCCCTAGACCAGAGGTGTCAAATCCTGCTCTACTGTCCTGCAGAGTTTAGCTCCAACCCCAGTTAAACACACCTGAACTAAAGTAATCAAGGTCTTAAAGATTACTAGAATCTTCCAGGTGGGACAAGTTGGAGCTAATGTCTTCAGGACATTGGCTCTCCAGGACCAGGATTGGACACCCCTGCCTTAGACAATCCACGGATAGGGAAAATGTTGCTGTCTTCGAACAGATATAACTGCCAATAATGGAACATCTACTACTGTAACTAGATTACAGGAAGTAGTATTTAGGAGAAAGTTTAAGTGAAAACCCATGTAAAATAAATGATAAAAAAGTGTACACTTATACATTTTCTGTCTGCCTCATTAGCAGTGATCGTATGGAGGCAATGGAGAAGCAGATAGCCAGTCTGACTGGACTGGTTCAGAGCGTCCTAACCCGAGCACCAGACAGCGACAGCACGTAAGACATGACAACATCCACAGAGCCATCTATGATCCATTTTTTATGGAACCAGTGCAAGTCAGATGCTAACACAGTCTATGCCAACTCTCATGTTTATGGAAAACATCTGTACTTAAGACTGCGTACCATGTAAAATGTCCTTAACACTAAAATACCAGTTTACACAATGCATTCAACCATTTCACACATGCTCACTGTTGTTATCATGGTACCATTTTGCTATCATGTGGTAATATCTTGTGTTCTCTTTTTTGGTATACAGCCATTGGCTTTTCTTATGTTTCATAAGCTTGCAAAAGTGTCTTAAGTTGCTGACTGTAAAGTGCTTGTATTGAAATTGTGTGTGCTGGTGGTCTTCTTTGTCCTGCGATGGCCATGGGTCTCTTTGTACCCGATGCTTTGATGTTGCTGGACATTTATTGTCATTCATATCCAATGTGACAAGTCATTCACATTAACTATTTTATGAAAGGAAATGAACAATATTTAGATTCTAACCTCAAAAAGAGAATGTTGAGTAAACAGCATTGAGTAGAGATTATAAGATTATTGTATAAAGAGTAAGTACAGTGTTTAATTCAGATTAGGCAGAGTTAGGATAGAAATGCCTGATGCAAATCCTGTTGTTGTTGTTGTTGTTTTTTAAAGATAATCACAATGCAAATCTGTGCACTTCGGTGTTCAGAAGGATTTCGTTTAATATCTTATTGCACCGAAATTGGTGCTTATAATTGACACTGGTGTGAACTGTGAATAGGCCTTAAAGATAAGTTCTTTGCTGACCTTTAGACATTATTAAAGCAAGTGACCTGTGGTTAAGAATAGTGTTTAAATTGTTTTGATATATATATATATATATAGCTCAGTATGAAGAATAGTAGCATATTGGGTTTTATATTTCAGTTCTAATACACTACCGTTCAAAATTTTGAGCTTGGTAAAATTGTTTAATGTGTTAGAAGTTTCTTATGCTCATCAAGAGTGCATTCATTTGATCCAAAAATACAGTTAAAACAGTAATATTGTGAAATATTAATTACAATTTATTGTAATTAAATTTTCTATTTTAATATATGTTAAAATGTAACTTATTCCTGTGATGGCAAAGCTGATTTTTCAGCAGTCATTACTCCAGTCACCAGTGTCAAATCATTATAATATGCTGATTTGCTGCTCAAGAAACAATTCTTATTACTATTAATGTTGATAACAGTTATGCTGCTATTTTTTCAGGATTCTTTGACTAATATAAAGAAGTGAATTTGATTATAGATGTCTTTACTGTCACTTTGAAACAATTTAACATATCCTTACTGAATAAAAATATTAATTTCTTTAAAAAAAATCTTATTGAATCCAAGTTTTGAACAGTAGTGTGCATGGTTTAACATTATAGTTTTATAGGTTAAATAAAGCTGTGTTACTCAAAGGAATTGTAATGTGTGGAAATAGTGAAAGTCACAATAACAGTAGCATAGATAATGGTAGCTTTCAAGATAGATAGCATAACCCTTTATTAGCCACAGAGAAGGCTAGTGTAGTCTTGCTGTAGTGCAGTGCGTATTAGTGTAGTGTCAGTGTAGTAATAGGTGCTGTAGTACAGTGGTAGTAAAAAAACAAAGCAATACACCTTATGTATATCTATATCACACGTTAACATTTTAATTAATGTTTTAAAATGTTATCAAATTAAAATGTTACAACTTTTATTTTTGGAAAAGTTCAGCACAACAGAGGTAGGCTATACAAAGTTAAAACATGGCCAAACATGATATTCCTTAAAGCTGCAGTCCGTAAATTTTGCCTCTTTTTCGCCATCTCTGTTTGAAGACCTGCAATTGCAGCTGTGTGCGGAATTATCTTCCTTGCGTGGGTTGTGCGGCGGCACGGCTCCAGCGCGGATGAATCTAATGTTTTGAGGAGTATGTGTGTGTGGCAGTCAGTCACCGCACCGGTGTGGATATTGTACTTTGCACTCACAGATTCTAGCCTACGTCTTGGAATATATGACTCAAATAAGCATTTTCACCGGATATTGTCATCTCATTGGTGACTATGAGTATAGTGTGCTTTAGTGTGTAGATTTCAATTTCTGCACAGTCTAATCTAATTGTCGTACTCTTCGAATTTCATATTAAGAAATTATTTTAACCCAAAAAGCTAATTATGCTCCCTTCGAACTGGTTTTCTTTAAAATACAAATCTTTCTAATCCCAGGCTATCTGTAATCAGAAGCACATTTATAACTGGAATATAATTTAATTTCATTCACATGTGTTTCATAAACACATAATCCTTTCTGGATTACAGTCCGCCATCAAAATGATACATTTAATTATTCTGGCTGCTGTGAGAAAAGGCTATAAACGATCTGCCATCTGCAGGATCCTCACATGCCATAGCCTAGTAGCCTGGACAACTTCTTTATGTTTACAGAAGTGACGTAATGACGCAGCGGCATGCTCGAATTTCCCGCGAAAACCTACCCGTACCACTCAAATTAGAAAAAATTATTAGAAGCTAACCGCTGTGAATCGGGCTAAAGTACGGCGATAGTTTCAAACACTGGCTGGTTATGTACTTGCTCAAATATTGATTTCAGATCATTTTTAACCAAAAAAAAGTTACGGACTGCAGCTTTAAAAATAATGTTTAAATAAATTAATTATTATAAATAATGTTATTATTGTTGTTATTATAACTTTTAAGTACATTGAACAATGCTAATATATTTGTCATAATTTCAAGTTAAATCAAGTCACATTTGAAAATGGTTTCTCTCAAATGAAACTAGGAAATGTTTAAGTATTCTGTCAGAGCAGCTCTGCTGATGTTCATGTTTATGTAGACGCTGAAAACACCACTAGTGTCATGCGTACTTCAGTGTGAAGTAGATAAAACGACGCCACTCAGAGACATGCAGAAACAAGCAATTATTTATATAGCAATCCCTTCGCGCTTGAATATTTACAGACACCTATCATATCTATTTTTGATTTATCCATCCATCAGATTGCGTGTTTTACGTGACATCCTCGTTATAGTGTAAATTCCATGTTTATGACTGCACCGGGATTCCCTCTGCATCACGGAAATCATACGGCCTTAATTTATAAATTTGTATAAATGCGACACACCTTTATCTGCATGGAGGGGTGGTGTCCGCGAATATGAGCGAAGATGTTGGATGTATTGCCTGCTTTTGTAGCCACTTTGCGTCCACATTTTTTGCAAATTGGATCCGTCCTCAAGGACAGCCCCGCATTCGTTTTTTTTATATCCAAAGTATTCCCATACCGCAGATTTTAACTTTTTTTTCGGTGGGGATGGAGATTAGATATTATCTCTGTCTCTGTCATTTTCTCCGCTGTACATGCGTGTAAGCAGCCAAGTAAATGCAGAGTGAAGCGGCCGAGCAGAAATGAGTTGCTTGTGCGCGGGTGAGATTTTTTTTTTCATTCATTTTTTTTTTTAACCGTAGATATGCAAATGTTTACGGTATGATAACTGTGCAAGTTCAAACCGTGATAAACCGTCACACCGGTATATCGTTACAGCCCTACACCTCAATAAAGGGTCATCAAGAGAGTTTCCCATGAGTCCTAGTCTCCCCTTTTGAATCTGATCCATGACAAGTCCAATTCAGCACTGTTTCTTTACTTCATTACGGTTATTTAGTTACCTGCAAGCTGAAAGCTTCTAATGTATGTTACAGCTGGCCGGCTGAAGAAGAAAGGTAGCCTTGTCTCTGCTCTCTCATATTTAATGTGGATTGATGTGTCTTTCCTGGTGTAGTGGGTGTGTTTGTTTTTATATATATACGAAAATGTGATCCTTCTGTTTATTTAATGGGATAGTTCACCCGAAAAAGGAAAATTCTGTCATCATTTACTCACCCTCAAGTTGTTTCAAACCTGTATGAGTTTCTTTCTTCTGTTGAACACAAAGTAAGCTATTTTGAAGGATGCTGGTAATCAAACATTTGACAGTAGCCATTGATTTCCATAGTATGGACAAAATACCAAGGAAGTCAATGGCATCAACTGTTTGATTATCCACATTCTTCAAAATATCTTCTTTTGTGTTCAACAGAAGGAAGAATCTCTTACAAGTTTGAAACAACTTGAAAGTGACTAAATGATGACAGAATTTTCATTTTTTGGATGAACTATCCCTTTAATGCTTGTTCCCATTGTAGTTTTCCACGGTATCTCTCCTGTATGGCCTGCCTGCACTAGATATTTCTCTCCCTCAGTCTGTTTTCACTCCTAAACTTGACACATTCATACACTGAAAGTTAAGTGTGGGGAGGATGCGTTTTGTTTTTCACATTTCCTGAATCTTGGGGAAAATGTACCCTTTTGTTTAAAACAACTGACTGGAGAGTGCTGCTATGTTTGTATTCCTCACTAACAGCATGTTCCTGAATGGGTTCTGGAGGTGACAACACTCTTTGTGTGTGTGTGCCGGTTAGTGTATCTCTGTCTGAACACAATGAAGGATGGGTGTAGAGCAAAAGTGCTTGATCTGGTTTCTGGAGATCTTCTTTCCTACAGAGTTTAGCCTCAATCCTAATCAGCTGGATCATCAATCCAGATAGTCAAGGTTATGGGGTTCACTTGATTGAAATTACAGCCAGGTGTGTTAGAACATGGCTAGAAATAATACTGTGTTCAAATCCTCCTAGGAAGTTTCTCCTAACAAGTTCGGAAATCATACGTAGATATGCAAATGTTTACGGTATGATAACTGTGCAAGTTCAAACCGTGATAAACCGTCACACCGGTATATCGTTACAGCCCTACACCTCAATAAAGGGTCATCAAGAGAGTTTCCCATGAGTCCTAGTCTCCCCTTTTGAATCTGATCCATGACAAGTCCAATTCAGCACTGTTTCTTTACTTCATTACGGTTATTTAGTTACCTGCAAGCTGAAAGCTTCTAATGTATGTTACAGCTGGCCGGCTGAAGAAGAAAGGTAGCCTTGTCTCTGCTCTCTCATATTTAATGTGGATTGATGTGTCTTTCCTGGTGTAGTGGGTGTGTTTGTTTTTATATATATACGAAAATGTGATCCTTCTGTTTATTTAATGGGATAGTTCACCCGAAAAAGGAAAATTCTGTCATCATTTACTCACCCTCAAGTTGTTTCAAACCTGTATGAGTTTCTTTCTTCTGTTGAACACAAAGTAAGCTATTTTGAAGGATGCTGGTAATCAAACATTTGACAGTAGCCATTGATTTCCATAGTATGGACAAAATACCAAGGAAGTCAATGGCATCAACTGTTTGATTATCCACATTCTTCAAAATATCTTCTTTTGTGTTCAACAGAAGGAAGAATCTCTTACAAGTTTGAAACAACTTGAAAGTGACTAAATGATGACAGAATTTTCATTTTTTGGATGAACTATCCCTTTAATGCTTGTTCCCATTGTAGTTTTCCACGGTATCTCTCCTGTATGGCCTGCCTGCACTAGATATTTCTCTCCCTCAGTCTGTTTTCACTCCTAAACTTGACACATTCATACACTGAAAGTTAAGTGTGGGGAGGATGCGTTTTGTTTTTCACATTTCCTGAATCTTGGGGAAAATGTACCCTTTTGTTTAAAACAACTGACTGGAGAGTGCTGCTATGTTTGTATTCCTCACTAACAGCATGTTCCTGAATGGGTTCTGGAGGTGACAACACTCTTTGTGTGTGTGTGCCGGTTAGTGTATCTCTGTCTGAACACAATGAAGGATGGGTGTAGAGCAAAAGTGCTTGATCTGGTTTCTGGAGATCTTCTTTCCTACAGAGTTTAGCCTCAATCCTAATCAGCTGGATCATCAATCCAGATAGTCAAGGTTATGGGGTTCACTTGATTGAAATTACAGCCAGGTGTGTTAGAACATGGCTAGAAATAATACTGTGTTCAAATCCTCCTAGGAAGTTTCTCCTAACAAGTTCGGAAATCATAATTATGACACTATAAGTGATTTTGCTCAGAATAAAATAGACTCACTGGGCAATTTCATATTTCTTTCTGTTTAATTTTCACTTACCAACTAAGACAGCAAGCTTTTTAGAGCCAATGAAAGAAAATAAAGAGCAAAAATGCACATTGTGTATTTATTGGTGTGTTTTATCATTCCATGCTTTCATGGATAATAATGAGAAATGTACTTTGATCTCTTCGTAAACCAACTAAATGACTAGTGTTTTCTGGCAAGCTTTATATTTATTCTTGTTTAATCTGCCATAATGACCTGACCTCAACTTGAAAAGTCTGGGCTTATGCAACCTTCAGGCTGGAAATATCCTAGTTTTGTGAACATGAATGTCATATTATTAACCAGTGATTTCCAGAAAAATATTAAGCAACACAAAAAATGTTTCTTGAGCACCAAATCAGCATATTAGAATAATTTCTGAAGGATCATGTGACACTGAAGCCTGGAGTAATGACTGCTGAACATTCAGCTTTGCCATCACAGGAATAAATAACATTTTAAAATGGTAAATATTGTAATATGTCACAATATTACTGTTTTACTGTATTTTTGATTAAATAAATGCAACCTTGGTGATAAGACTAATATATAGGGCTTCTTTCAAAAACATAAAAAATCTCACCATGCCCAAACTTTTGAATGTGCCCCTCTGCAGTACTTGAGAGTGAATGATGTTGTTTTGATTTTGCTTATCCACTGATACAACAGACAAAAAAGAACTTTTGATGTTGTTCCGTCTTCGATATTGTGTTTTCAACTTGATTGTGTGATATATCCTAATAGCAATTGCCCAACTGGGCTGTTAGAGCTTCCCAGGTGGACTTCAATGCAGGATTATCCTGAGTTTCTGACTACTAAATATGACTTTATGTTTGCATTCTGTGCGTTAAACTTTTAAACACATTCGTTGTAACATGAAAGCAGCATAGACTCTGTTGTAAGGTCGATCTCCAGGAGCAGGACTAAACAATGCTGGTGTATAAGGTGTAGGTGTAAATGGGTAAGTGTGAAATAATTCATATTGGATTGAGTGTGTCTTTCGAGCTCACAGTGTTGACTTTTTGTCCTGTGTTGTGGTTATTAGCGCTGACTCCATCTGCTCCGCTGGCACTGATGCCTCCGCCTTCATCTGGAGGCTCTCAGGCCTCCACCGTCTCCAGGCTACAGATGCAGCTTCACCTGAATGACCTACAACAGAATGCCACCGATCTGCGCAAACAGCTCGCACAGCTTCGTAAGATGCAGGTAAGACGTTACAATCTCATGCATCTCGACACACAGCAGGTAACTGAACAGACATGATGTGATAAAGCGGCATGTGATAAATCACATCTCGTCCATGTTAATCTGAGTCAAGACAGATTGTCAGTTGCTTGGTTTCTATTTTCGACACATCTCGTCGAGACTGCTCCACATAGCTAGATATTAAACTTTACATCAAACTTCAAAGGTGTTCTGATTGACTGTCATTTTATGGCTTAATGTGGCATTTAGCTTCCAGGGAGTCAAGTTAAATCACATTTATTTATATAGTGCATTGTATAATACAGATTGTGGCGAAAAAGCAGTTTCAGAGAAATATAGTAACAGGAAAAGAACAGTGTTAATGTTGCAGAATTAATTAGTTATGAAACAAATTCAATTTCAGCTGTAAGCAGCTCTACAAAACAAATAGTGTCATTATTCTGCTCAGTTCAGTTCAATGTTGAGGACACAAATGTTTCTTTATGCTCAAAACTTTGTAATTTCGCTCCTACTTAGAAAGGTGTACGTTTTCTATTGTCAACAACGCTCACAGCGTCAATGCAAATGATCATACATCATTACACAAAATACTGCTTTAATTTGATAGCTAAAAATTATGATAGCTGGTAAAATAAATGTTGGTAAAATAAATGTTGGTAAAATAAATGTTGTAAATTCAAATCAGAGTGTCTTCCGTGAACGTGACTAAAACTAATAAAAACTAAAATGACAGTTTCACACAAAGACTAGACTAAAACTAAAATGAAAACAGGCCGCCAAAAACAACACTACTTATAACTGTAATTCGGTCTGCAGACCTGGAAATACTTTATAATCATATTGGAATGAATGTCAACCAATCAGAATCAAGAATTGAACAGTGCTGCGGTAGAAAGTGTTGCACTAACCTGCACCTCACACTGCAAGCCTTCCAGATGTTTGCCTGCTGACAAGGAGGACGATTTAAGGAGGTGATACAGAAGGTGGTACAGAAGCCACAGACGGCAGGAGCAGCAGCGCCGATTTGTAGTCTTCACGATATCTCACAGTCTAATTTATTTACACACAGCAATGAAAAAACAAAGAGGACGTGCTGAATGGCTTCACCTGGTATTTACGGCAGATTTGTAGCTCCATGTCCTGATGGTGTTCAGTGTGTGTGGTGTGGAGGAGGAAATGCATCGATTTCGGTCATGTTTAGAGTCCAATATGGAAAGCTGGCATGCATTGCGCTTTTCAGCATCCAAACCAGAGGACGACACTGAAAATTTTGGATTCAAAATCACTTAGTTTTTACATTACAGAAAGTTTATCTTGAAATGCTGGTGTTCTGTACCAGTGTGTATTAAGTTGGGCAGAAGAAAAGACAGAAAAAGAGGGAGAAGAGTGATGTTTGATAAGTTACCTCTCTGGGAAAAAGGGAAGGTCTTTGCAAACATAAGAACATTCATATACTGTATCAGTCATAAAGGTATCTGTCAAAATGTCAGATTTTTTTAGATATGAGCCCACTATCCCAAGACAGCAGTCGTCTCTGACTAGCAGGATGGATATAGAATCTGATGTCTGAATGGGGCAAAATGTCTTAAATAAAATACATATGGATGCTGTTGTAAACTGCTGAAATTCCTTGTATGGGCAGCTGTCAGATTATCATGGTGACATGTTGAACAGGAGTATGATAAAGGGAAATGTTTGTGTTAGTGAATGTGTGAAGGAGGAGAGAAAGGGAGGATGTGCAGGGAGCTTTAGGGAGGGCTGAAAGCCAGCAGAGAGGAGACGGTACACTAACAGTCTGACAGATCCTATTGGATTGTGTGTCTGTCATACGCTTTCCTTTCTGTACTTACAGACTTGTATTTACAGAATCATTTTGAAATGATTTTTTCTAGCCTCTGAGAGTCATGGACATTTTTACAGCGGAAAATAATTTTTTCTAGTTATGCTCAGCTATAAAATTGCATCAGACATTTCTCTTTATGAGTGCAGTGTCTATAAACAGGGCTCTCGCACCAATGAATCTTCATGACTTTTCCAGTCATCCGTGATTTCTGGATAAAGATTAAGAATAGTTTTATATGGATTGCACTCACAAAGAGCAATTTTAGCTCATGAAATATTTCAAAGCCAAACATGAATAAAAAAAAAAGAAAATGTATATAAATATAATATTTAATTTGACATATAGAAAGAGATCTATTAAAATATTTTTTGAAATACTTTTATTCAGCAAGGATGCATTAAATCACAAGTGATGGTAAAGACTTCCACACTGTTACAATACATTTCTATTTGAAATAAATGCTGTTCTTTTAAACTTTCTATTCATCAAAGAATCCTGAAAAAAATTGTATCACAGTTTCCACAGAAATATTAAGCAGCACAACATTGATAATAATCAGAAATGTTTCTTGAGCACCAAATCAGCATATTAGAATGATTTTTGAAGGATCATGTGACACTGAAGACTGGAGTAATGATGCTGAAAATTAAGTTTGCCATCATGGGAATAAATTACATTTAAATATATATTACAATGGGAAAAAAATAATTTTAAATTGTAGAAATATTTCTTAATATTACTATTTGTACTGTATTTTTGATCAAATAAATGCAGCCATGAGCATAAGAGACGTAATTTTAAAACCTTTTAAAAGATCTTACTAACCCCAAATTCTTTTATCTTGTATCTTCTTTGATAATGTCTTAAATATGACCCAAAACATCATCAGATTTTTGCACAAGTCCTGAAACTAGACAAAGAGAACCAATCAAAGAAACGAGACAAAAATATTTTCTTTGTAATTTATTTACTGAGAAAAATTATCCAGTGTTACATATCTGTGCGGTGCAAAAGTATGTGAATCTCTAGGATCAGCAGTTCATTTGAAGGTGAAATTAAGAGTCCGTCTGTTCAGAGGCGTTTTCATTCAGTGAAATGACTATCAGGTGTCATTGCCTGTCCTGTTTTATTTAAAAAAACCATCTCTAAAGAGTTTGGACTCCACAAATCCACAGTCAGATGTACAAATGGAGGAAATTCAAGACCATTGTTACCCTCCCCAAAAGTGGTCCACCAACAAAGATACGCAAAGCAAGACGTGTAATAGTCCACAAGGTCGCAAAGGAACCCAGGGTAACTTCTAAGCAACTAAAGGCCTTTCTCACATTGGCTAATGTTCATGAGTCCACCATCAGGAGAACACTGAACACCCATGGTGTGCATGGTAGAGTTGCAAGGAGAAAGCCACTGCTGTCCAAAAAGAACATCCCGTCTGCAGTTTGCTAAAGATCATGTGGACAAGCCAGAGGACTATTGGAGAAATGTTTTGTGGACAGATGAGACCAAAATAGAACTTTTTGGTTTAAATGTGAAGCGTTATGTTTGAAGAAAAGAACACACTGCATTCCAGCATAAGAACCTTATCCCATCTGTGAAACA